TAAAAGTTGACTGCCTGGTCGTTGTCATGGAAACACTTCCATTCACAGCACCAGACTTTCCTAAAAGTTAAGGACTTAAGTGACAATGGTAAAACAACATTTGTCCTCATAAAACTGTAATTATCAAACATTGTTTACATATGTTAAAAACCTGAAAATTAAAAAAATGAAGGGTAATCAAATCCAAGCTGTAGATTAAGATAAACATGATTTCATAGTGAATATGAGTTAGTAAGGAAAGTTGGGTCTTACTGACTCTGTAGGGCATTACTGAAAAAGCCAAGAACAAAAACAGAATCATTGCAAGAGGAAAGCCTTCCTGTTTTAACTCAAAAATCAAACTTCTTCCTATCGGGTCAAACTGTTGTTCATGGAAGTGCAAAATGAGTGTGCAATTTTAACAACTCTAGTGTATATGCATATCAGAATTCTTGAAGCTGGGTTAAAATGGGAAATGGTTGAGATTGCTGAAAGACAAATATCTACTTATGGTCTAAGTCTACTACATAAAAATCATGGTAATGCACTGCTAAAATTAACAATATATTCTTTTTGCTGGAGCACGTTGGGATAGCTATAAGAAAGGGTTAAACCTAATAACTTGTCTAGTGGTGTGTCTTAATGAGCAATCTGTAAAAGGGAAACATAAATAGAGGAAATGTGTTTTGAAATGTGTCATGTGGCTATCATTAACTCCTGATAATTCAGGACAGCCTTCAACTGTGGACATTAGTACCTTTGCCTTGTAACAAACTGAAATACTGGCTAAAAAGTGGGTTTGGAGCCTTTTTCCTTCAAATGTACTGAATCTGAATTTTGGTGTGTGGAAGCCAGGAATTTGGGTTTTACACAGCTCATATGATTCCTTTGTTAGAAAATCCACAGAGTTTTTAGTGCTTCAGATTTTTAGTTTTCTAGTATTGTTGCTCATTGTAAATCACTACTTTTATCAGAGGATAAGTAATGCAATAAAAGAAAACTCACTTCAGTTTCTTCATTGTAGAGTATAAACCACCTTCATAAACCCTTATTTGATTTGTCAGAGAAGCATAAGAAATTTTTCCTGGACCTGGGTGAACCTAGGATTCCCATAGACAGTTTCTCTGCTATCCTTGAAAATACATTAAATCTTGGTATTTTCTTTTTGCAGTCTATTCACATATGGTTTTAATGCTATTCATTCTGCTTTTGGTATACACTTTCATATATAAGTTTATTAGCATTGTCTCAACTAATATACTTTAAGAGTTTTACAATACACAGTATATAATACAACTTAATATGGCTATCTAGTACAGTGAATGAAGAAATTGAGCTGTATATTTAATAAATGTTTTTTGATGATGACAGAACTTCTCACCATTGTATTACCCTTTATTTTGTGGAGACTGTTATTTTGGAAACGGCAAGACGAACACAATGACCTACTTCTGTAGATCTGATTGTTTCGTGTTCCAAGAATTGTTTTTTCAAACAGCAAGTACTACAGAAATGAAAAGTTCCTTTAATAGTATCCTGGCTGGCTTCCTGAAACCATTGTTCATTTAGGAAAACAAAACTAAATATTATCTAATTTAACAGTAGATATGCTTTCTCAATTGAAACTTAGTGGTTAACTACATAATAAAGGCTCCTGGTTTTTGAAGTGAAATCCACAATGCTTGTACTTCTTTTATAGACTTTTTCTTAATGGAGGTCATTTTCTTTTGTTAGTAACCATTCTCTATTATAGAACCAATTAAAATTTCTACCTTACACTATATTACACATGTCTGTATGCTAATGAAGATTCTCTTTCTTTGCTGTTCTTTTTAAGTACATTTGGTATTTGGTATAAAAATATTCAAGTATTAAAAAGTACTAGGAATAAATGATTCCAAAACTAGACAGTGGGAACTTGAATGGTCAGAATGAATCCTGCTTATTAAAAAGTCCTCACAAAAACCAAAGCTTCTGTAAAATAAAACAGAACATAGCACAATTTATTATACTGAATTTTAATTTCTTAAAATACTAATAGTCAACTATGGTGATGGCACACGGGTGATTTAGTGATGGGAAGCTCATGGGAATTAAAGAAAAAAAATGAAAAAAAAATACTAACAGTCAAAGTACATTTCATATGTGTGTTTTTTTAAAAAGTAAGCATAATCTGATCACTATTAAGAAGTACAAACTGTCTTTGATCTTACTCTTCATAAACTTAAAAAAAGTACAGTTTCACAGAATAAGGAAATCTCAAAAATTTCATAGGGGTTTCAATTTTATTATTAAAAATTAAATATATACTATATATTCATTAATCCACAGTGTAAAGAAATAATGAACACTACAGTCAAAAACATACATACATTTCTTAAAAGTGGTAAGCTGTTAATATTTCTTATAATGTAAACAGTAATTTCTATTTCATTTTAAATGAAACAAAGGCATTAGTACAAATTTTATTAATAATTGTTGAATTTTGTTCTAATTGTTAGCATAAAGGACTGGCCAAAGAGTTACATAAGTGGAAGATAATTTTTGTCTATTTTTGCATGAAAAATACAAAAACTTTAGATGCTTATTGCACCTTGGATAGTACAACTTGTCTAAATTGTGTACAGGCATTATATTCACTTTTGACCCTGTGGTCACAGAGCAAAACACCAGGTCACAGATTATAGGACTGTTTTAGAAAAGCTTCAAGACACTTAGTATAAGGATGATGAATATTAAATTTGAATGTAATCTGTGTATTCTAAATCCAAATATAAATTGGTTCTTAGTTGTGTGTTTCTTCTGCAGGAGACTTGAAAACTTACTATAATTTTAATTTAAATCATTTGAACAGGTATTAAATTCCAAACCACCAGGACAAATTACAGAAGTAAACTATACTTTAATAATGATTACAAAACTGTGCTGTCTTTTTTTTTTTTTTTCTATTCTTAAAAGGAAAGTAGTTTTCAGATCATCTGACTTTGAGTAAATAATTTAGTTTTTTTCTTGTTAAAAACAACGATCTGGAAAGTGGTCATTGCTTTCAGAAACGTTAAAAGCCCCCACACAAGACAAAACAAACCTAAATTAGAAATCCAACAAAACAATGGCTACTCTATGTTTTTCTGTATTACAAAAGAACATACTGAAAAAAACCTGAAGTACTACTGGATACTGCATGCAGCCAGTGAATTTCATACTTCATAGCTGCTGTATAAGGGTTTAATGTTTTAACAATCTTAATAATTCAAAGGGCTCATAAACAAGAGAATATCTTCTGTTTGAAAATTCCTCAGGAAAGTAAAAAGGAGTATTGAAAGCAGAAAGCAAATAGCAAAACTTAGTACCCAAACCTTTCACTGAAAAGACTTCTGTTCATTTTTTTCCCTTGTTGAACATTAACTTAAAGATAAGTTGTATTTGTATCGTGACCTTTTCCCATTTTATTAATTTAGCACCACCCTATGTGAAATAGATAGCACTTGTCATAAACAAGAAATGGAAGCAACAGACTTCTTGAACCACTTACTGAAGGACACTTCTCTCAAAAGTAGAAGGTCAGTTTGTTTTTTGAATAGCATATGCAATTTTTATTCTGCCACCATTAGAAGTTAGGCAACTCTGTGTAATAACAGATCAAGACTTGAACTAGGCTCCTCTTATGTCAAGTCCAATGTTCCCCCATAGATAACAAAGACTTTCCTTTCAATCCCTTTTTATTCTCCTGACACCCTTTTACAAACACATGAAGAACTTAAAGCAATTAAAAAAAGTTATAATTTATCTAAGATTATGAAGTTCCATAATGGCAGAACTGAGTTTAAAATCCAGATTACCTAAAGCACTCTTCATAGGGCATCTTTTGTCCTTATGTTAATTTTAATGAATGTTTTTTAAAGGTCTGAAGGCATTTCCTTTGAGTTTAAGTTCGCTCTGGATGTATATATATAGTGGTAGAAGTATATACTATGGGAGGAATTAAGATGCTTTGCAATAAATTTCCTTAAGTTAACAAAAGACTTGTAAGTGTATATTTGCTTAAGGAGTGATTATTATTATTTTTACTTTTTTTTTTTTTTTTAAAAGCTGTATTTATTTGTGCATACAGAACTAGGGTACAGAACCAAGGTGCAGATTCAGTCAGAAGATTCACCAGAGACAGAGCAGGGAGCAGAACAGGCAGTTCCACAAAGTCCACTGGTGAGGGAGCAGCAGGAGAGACAGGAGAGGTCTGCTGCACCATGTGGGTCACCCCCTGGCTGGGAACTGAACTCATGCTGCAGCTGCTATGCCAGCTGTGCTTTAACCCTGGGAGGGCCCTTTGTGTTTACATTTATTTCAAGCAACTGGCACTCATAAATATACAAAGAGGGTGAACACACTGATCACATTTTCTGCTACCTTTAAGGACAAATGACTTGCTTCTCACATGTCAGATGCTTGGTAGCCCCATGATGGTGGTAAGCAGCAACTTATTACTAAAAGCAAATTTAAGAAACCTCTGTGACATGGAAATCTATATAGTACACAAACTTTTCCCCTTCAAGTAAAAATGTTCACTCCACCGATTTATAAAATAGCTTCTCCTGGAAATTCACTGAATCTAGTTAAATTAGATAAATTCTCAACCACATCTCAAAAGAGATACTATTTGTATTTTTCAGGAAAGTCCTTACCAGTGGACTAAAGTTTGTAAAGCAGGGACGAAGGCCTTAACACAAAGAAATAATTATCAGGAGGAAAAAAGTGTATATAAACATACACATTTATAGGTTATTATTTTCAGCTGAAACTATAAAATGAGGATAATGGGTGCTATAGTGATGGCACTATACCTTAGGGAGGAAATCAAATAATATACAAAAATTAACAATGGTATAGGAAAATAAGTACTTCACCTAAAAATAAGCTAAAAAACTAAAAAATGAAAAAGAAAGAAAATTGAATTGAATTGAAAATTAGTACTTACACATGTATATTAGACAAGTTACCTCTACACTGCATGTTGGTGAACCTACCTGTGTATATTATCTTGACCAGAAGGGACTACACCTACATTGGCCACATTTACCACCTTTTGAAGGATCACAGAGGGAGTGAAATTCTGTGGTGCAGCAATGATTACAGTAGAAGTTTCATTCATTCCTGTTAGCATTCCTGTAAGAAAAAAGACTCTTTTTACTAAATTCTTTATGAACATTATATTCAAAATTTAAGCTTGAAAGCAAAATTTTGAAAATATTTTCAAGGAAAGAAATACTATCTCAGGATATAATTTAGCAAGACATTATAAAATTAAAATGAAGTGCAAGTGTTTTTGAAATGTTTTTAACATTCTCATACAGGAAAATGTATAAACATGCAGTTGAACAATACTCTTTAAAAAAAAGATTGATTCTAAACAGAATAGGATAAAAACATTAGAACTACAAAGATGAAATTTGGCCTATGCAAACAATTTAGCTTTTATTTCTTGAAGATGTAAATATAATTACATATTTTTCTCTCTTTTTCAATCAAAGATATTTCTTGTCAAATGATGGTTAATAACAAGTCAAAGTGATTATGGATTAATTTAGCAGCACTACCTGACGAATGGCTTCAAGAAAATGGATCAAAGTTATGTCAACAATGACTGAAAGTCATGAAACAGTTATGTGTCTCTAAAATGTGTACATGTTTCTAAGGTGCATTTGGGGATAACAGTATTTGTCTAGTGAATGGAACTACAGTTTGAAAATACTGTAATCAAAACTGCTAAACAAGACTTTTGAAAACAAACAAAAAATACAAATGAAAAATCTAAAATCCTGGAGACATTTCAATAATATTTAGGAAAAGAAACTAAGTTTAGCAAAATCATTAACAAAAGAAATCATACAGAATTAACATAAATAAGCCACACCATTAATATAAAAATTTCATGTAAAATGTTCAGTGAACATTCCAAATGCTTGAAACAAATATTGAAATTTTGTGTCCATATTAAAAAAAAAAACAACAAAATAATTATGATAAATGCCATCTATCTGGATCTGTGATATCAGTCAATGACACCGGTTACTAAAGTCATGTGACCTATACACAACAATTATCATAAATATAAATTTATAAAAATGATAAAATATGATTTTATGCTTTTAAAAGGTCCTGCACCTTCAGGGTTATGTGTTTAATTTATTTATTGCAAATGCAATCTGAGATTTTTAAAAATCCTTAGGATTAGTAGTATGAAGACGTGTTTTAACACTGTAAAAAGACTTATCTAGCTTCTAACAAAGAGCAGTTTTTACTAACCACTTTCAAACTCAGGGACACTATGTTCTATCTTAGACTGTTTAACTTCAATATTAGGCAAAAGCTTTAAAAACTACACAAGCAGTCAAACACTGCTTTTAAGCAAAGCACAGTGGCTGCTGACATAACACTGCTGAGAGATGTGTGTACTCATTTAGGATTTAAACCTTCTCCATTAAGCTCTATTGAAGAGCAACTGCTGAATAAATGAATGCAACTATGTTTATGTTAAAAGCCTGTTTCCCGCAGCATGTAATTAAAGGAAATGTTGTACAAAGCCAGTACTTTTGTCAAGCTCCTGTAAATGGAAAGATGGATAGCACTCAGAGAAGTGAATGCATTGCTTCATATTTAACCTTAACACTCTTGTCATTAATGGTTTGTCTAACTTGGTCTATAAAAGACAAGGTACTGCTCCATTGAAGTAAAATTAAAAAAATCAACTAAACCATGCTTTTCAGAACAGAAGATTCATTATCGTCAGCTAATGTATTGGCATAAAGCAAAGTAACATCCTATCAAGTAAGGCACACATTCAATCTGCCTTCCCACCCCCCTTTATTTTTAACTCATGCTGTTTTATTGTTATAGGCAATTTGTACCACTCAGCATGACAGTGTAAACTGAATCAAGATTAATTTACATGCAAAAGAACACTTAGGAGAGCAGCATGGTAAGCAAATGTATTGTCTCGATTGCTGAGGTGGAAAAAGAACCTGGAAGGAAAAAAAGGTGCTCTAATTAAGGGGCATCAAATATGATTGCTTGTGGTAGTTAAGGGCCAGAAAACAGTAAATGTCTGACCATTTAAAGAATTAGCATCTTGCTAGCTAGGAACCCATAAGATGGATGCATAAATCATAATAAAATTATGTAAACATTCTAGGTTTCTTAAACCAGAGATTTTCCTAAATGAAAATATATCAGGTATTCTCAAATTAACGAGAAAGAAAAATATGCCAAGGTATCATTAAAAGTTTCTCTTATTAAAAAAAAAAAGACTTTAAATACTCTGTAGATTGCTCATTCATAATAAAGATACTGGGAAAGTATTTTTAAATTGTCAGATTGTGGAACTTGTTCATTAGAATTTATCTAAATTTTGGTGAGGCAGTGGACAGCACTTAATTTAGGTTAATTGGCTGTAATTAACTGCTAAAATGCAAACCAAATAATAAAATTAAAATTATTTTTCTAAGTTTTAGATTTACATTTTAAGTCACAAGAAAATAGTAAGAGGAAGTAGTTTGGAACAAGCAGTTGGCTCAGGTTTCTTACAATAAACACTGCCTCAAGAAAACAAATTTTTTTAAGTAAAAGAGAGATCTCATTTATGATATTTAAATCATCCCATCGCTAGATCATTAACTTTGCAGGGTCCAAAACTCAAAATAATGAAAAAACTATGCTTCTGTTTTAGGCTCACAACATGAACTTCCGTATATAGGATACATTTATTTTTCATTTAGCATTTTGACTACCAACTTTATAAGCATGCATGGTTAGCTATGGAACTCAAATTTAACAAGTGAGAAAAGTGTTATCAGTCTGTACGCAAGGAATAAAGCAGCATTTTCCTTTACAAAAATTAACCTAATATGTACAATCTTTTAAAAGGATTCTTAATTAATATTGCTCATGCTTTACAATTGTATATATTTTTTATAGAAAACAATAGTATTTTCTCATGTTTATTATAATTTTTTTCAGTTACATACTAATTAATACATTTAGTGCACTTATATTGACTATTAAAATATATGCCCTGTGAAATGAAATATTAAATACATAAATTCCATTTTATTTACAGTAGAATAATAAGTTAAAGCTAGCATGCAATGACTCAGACTCTTCTTAAATTTAGTAGCAGTTTACTTTCCAGAAGTGTGTATAGATATAATCTGAGGAAAATGATTTTTATTCTGATTTAGGATTTTCAGTTAGTGAGTCATTTCTAGGTATCTTTTGTGAAATAAGCTAAGCTATTCCTAGAGCAGTAAAACAAATACATGTGTAAAGTTGAGAATTGAGACCTCTATTACCACACCAGTTTAAATCTATAACTAAAAAGATGCTACTGAAAAAACTCTTTAAACCTGTGGTAAATTTTCCAGCATCAAGTCCCATATCAAAAAATGAATTCAGGAAGACAGAAAGAATGATACAGAAATGCCAAGAGACTTGCAAGGATTTACAAATACTTCATATAAACAAATTTTCAAATAGCTTTATTCAGAGTAGCCTTTCTGCTCTATTAAACATAGCAAACAGCTGCCAGATTTATTCAGACAAATAATCAACAACCATAGAAGTAAAATGGCAGAAGAAAAAGGAATTTTGGCAACAACTCCACAGAGGACCACAGCTGTTCTCCAAGCGCACCTCTTTCATGCGCTTACGGTTCTGTATGGCTAGTCAGAGAAAAATCCCTCAGTCACAGAAGAGCACAAAAAAACTTGATCAAAATATCAAGTATTCTCAGCCAAAGCTGAGGGAGAGAAAGGGTGTACTATAATCAGCTGCCTTCGATATACTCTAACTGCATGTTTCAAAATGGGAGTGTCCCCTTAACAATAAAAGTGCCAAAGCCTTATTTAGTTACTGGTGTGCCACTCACCTTGGTTTGCAGAGCAGGTGTATAGCAGAGAGGCAGGCTTTAGCCAGCAAAGGGTAAGAATAGCAAATGTAAGAATCAATTCAATTTGTCATTAGAAAAATAAAATCACAGATGATTTTTTGCTATAGCAAATTCAACTTCTAAGAAAAGCAAATTGGTCATACCTTTTTATCACTTAATGATAAGCCAGATGAATAGAAAATTAATAACAGAAATATTAATTTACAGTCTTTTCTTTGTAAGATTCTTCTACAAAAGGTCTTTCTCACATTGTAGCTTCCAAAAACTGGTAGAAAAAAAAAATCTTTGGCACTACAATGATGGAGTGCCAGGAGGTATGTCCTTCTCCTTAGGTGTAGAGTATGTGTGTGCCTAGTACTTTCTAGAAGCTTAGGCTTGAAGCTTGACAGACAGGACTTAACAGCCTTCAGGATAAAGGGATTTTTAATTGATAACACCCTTGGGGGAGGGGAGAGGGAGAAATAGCACAGACTCACATAAAGTTTAAAAAATTGACTATACCATTTAAATACACCTTGACTTTGTTATCCTTAAACACAAAATAATAGTTATTTCTCCTTATTCATAATGGGAAATTTTTTTTTATTAGAAGGTACGCTTGGCTCCAGAGCAAGCACACGAAACTTATACTTTCGTTCTGTTGAAAATATTTTCTTTTTTAGGTATATATTTAAAACGTTTCAGCTCTGATATAGTCTGACAACACAACATTTCTTTAATACAGAATTGGGCCAAAAGAAAATAGAGGTATTTTAATGCTATAATTAGGACTTTTATTTTGAAGAGTTAGGCACTCTAATGTGCACAGGGAAAAAGGCATTAGTGGGACATGAAAAACAGTTCCATAATGAAAGAAAATACAGAAATGTAACATTTATAGTGGGAGGACTTTGGTAAGCTCCAAATTCCTGGTATTTTCACTAATATAAAATGCATGAGTATATCATTAGGCTGACAAACCACAACTCCCAGAATTGAAAAGCTGATTAAGAATCAATTTATTATTTTAAAGACATTTTAATCAATTTTCAAGTATGCCACAAATGTAGACATACTATACTTTTAAGTTTATTTTATAAAAGCCAAACATTAAGCAAAAACTGGAAAATTATATAGTGACATTTGTTAATGGTTACGTATATATGATAATTTGTTTTAGAAACTGGCCAAAAGAAAGATAAATATTATTTGGGATGTCAATTTCCAGTAAATTGTAGCAATGTCTCACCTTGCTCTTTCTTGAAATCTTTCTCTGATATGGCCACAGGTAAAAGCAGTTCTCCAACCGGTGGTTGAATATTAACACTGAAACAATCATCCTTGGTACTAAGGAAAAAACATACCAAAACCAAGTAAATAAGTAAATATTTTTCTTAATAGTGTACATATAAATAAATTTGATTAAGCCATACCCCAGCATTTAAAGTATAAGACTTTCTTGGCTTAAATATTAGTTATAAAGACTTGATAAACTTCTCAAATTATTTGCAGAGAAACACATCTAGTATCTCAATTAGAAACGCTTTTTTTTTTAACAGAATAGGTAGATCAGTAAACAGCATTTGTACAGAACTTAAAAAAAAAAGGTAAACATGTATGTTCACTATTACCAGAGGAACATCATACAGTTTATAGAGTGGATCAATTAATATTTTATTTTTATTTTGTAAATTTAAAGCATAGAAAATGAAATGTCTTAGTCTTAAATGGCTAAGATTGCTTTAAAAATATTAGATTTTAATAAAGAACAATACAACGTGATCATACTACATTTAGCTATAATGCTAATACAATTCTGCATCTGCATCTCTTTAAGAGAAACAAAATTCCTTATTTTCTATTAGTTTTTCATTGACATTATAGATGGCCTCATATAAGTTAAAAGTTATTATTCCCAATAACATGAATATGTAGATTTCGGAATAATATGTAGATATGTAGATTAGATTGGGATATTATTCCCAGTAGTATGGATATGTCATGATATGAAGAATTTAGGAAAGGGAACTCAGTACTGTATCAGATAGAAAAACATACTTTGCATTTATTTCCCTTAAGTTTCAACAGCATTACTCTATAATACTGTCAAAAGTTTTTTTAAAATTAAGTTAGATGTTTGACATTAGATAGATGAGTATACCTTTTAGGAATGATTTTGGTTGCAAAACGAGCAAAAAATTTAAGAGCTTGTTGAAAAATGGTTTCTTATTGTATTTTAAAATATATATATATATAACTAATTAATTATTTTTAAACTGAGATTGGGATACCTCCATCAGGTATTAGCACCAATGCGTACCCACTACCTACTCGTCCATATTCCACTACCATAGACCTCTGTGCTTCCTTCCCTCTTTTTTCCTTATGGCATTAATCATATTCTATTTTGAGTATCACTGAGTTACCCAGAAAGAGGTATTCAGCAGGTTATCAGAAATACAAATTAAGTATTAGGAAAGTATTAGGAAAGAGGTCAGAACAGATTATTATGAATTTGGAAGTAACCAAAATGGTACTGGGAAGGACTCAAGATCTTCAAGTGGATAAGATCAACAGAAGGCAAGGACAGACTAAGAAAAAAGGGTAAGTCATAGAAAGCTGGAGAAAACCTGCCTTCAAGTGAAAAACAGAAGAAGAGCAACTTGCAGAAGGGACTGGGAAAGAGTGGTCAGGGAGAAAAGGTATGTGACAAATGCTGCAGGAAGGAATAAAAAGAAGTAAGTATAACTGCTAAGCTTAGGTTGGATGAAGACTGTAGGATGCAGTGAGTTCAAGCAAAGGCTTCAGGAAGATGCAGAGGAAAAAGAATGCTTAAAGGAATCTAGTATGTTTAAAGGTTGCAGGGAAGAAGCCAGGAAAAGATTAAGAAACAAGAAATAACAGAACAAAGTCTCAGAAGAAATAAATGAGGTTGGGAGTAAGAGCACATGAACCAAATGAATGGATCAGTCCTGGAGTAAGGTACTTCTTCCAAAAACTGTAGAAAAGCAGTATTGAGGATAGGATATTTGGAGGATAAGCCAATGCCTGACACAGTGGAAGGCTAAGTCACATTAAGAGAAATATGTAAAGGCTGCTGATGAATAAGTGGATAGGTAAACATGTGCACATAAAATACGTACATACACATTGCATATATAACTAATTTAGCCTTACACAAAAATTTTAGCTTCAAGTAACTGGATAAATTGGTGTTCTATAAAATGAAAAGCACACGGCACTCCACTGAGGCATAAAACTAACCAAGCAAAAAACATTTACTAATATTTTTTTCTCATTCCTTTAGAAGTTCTATTTTGTCTGTAAATTTGTATTTTAGTAAGTATGTAATATATTAGCACAACGACACACATACAATTTAAAAACAATATATTATATGTGTCTGTGTATATAGGGAGTACACGGTAGAAATATTTTATTAAAAATTAGGGCAGGTGCCTCCCTGGTGGCACAAGGGGTTAAGCTGAAGCACTGTGAAGCTGTTAGGTTTGGTATGGTAATACACATTATTTTATACTTGTCAATCATATCCAGTTTATAAACCAGTGTTATTCTATAAAGTAAAATTCTGAGAGAAACTGACACATATTCTATAAAGTAAAATTCTGAGGGAAACTGACAAAAAAAGCAGGTAAGTAGATATTTAGAAAGACATACTGATAGATATACACACAAACACATAATTTCAGTAATTTATCAAACTTGATCTAAGATGTATATATGCTTGCAAAGGGATCTTTGTCTCAAGAGTACAAAAAATATATATTGTTTTTAAAAGATATTTTATAAGGTCTATAAAAAATAGAAAAAATATTTTATTACTTTTAACGAAAAAAGAAAACATTTAAGAAAAAATAGAAAAGAGACACGCAAGAAAAAGCACAGATTTTCTAAAGTGCAAAGTATACATAAGTCTATACCAAGAAATTGTAATATTTGATGAAATGGTTTCCTAGAAAACTATAAATTAGGAATAAAAAGGCTAAACTTTATCAGAATGTAAACAGAGTTCATTTCTATTTTTTCTTATTATCTTTCTAATTAACTCATACACACATATTTTATAGAAAAATTCTTAATTTTTCTATGCCATTTTTAGAAAAAGGTCTTATAGATATACTGCATTTTGTTCTTAACATATAGTAATTAACTTATAGTAAAAGTTGAAAAATGACAATGTGCATGGTCCCTTTCCAACAATCTTAGCTTATTTAGTATGTTTTCTTCTCCCAACCCTCTTGTTAAACTGATCAGGTTTTAACCATCTCTTTTCTTCTCACTGTTAGTTATTTGAAGGTTACTAATTCATGACATTTCCATTATGTCAGTGGTTATTTTAATATTTTAGCATATTTAAACATTTTGCTTTTAATCACTTTTCCTGACAAAATAGGAATATCATCATTTCCCTCACATTTGTCTATGTCAACATTTTACTTTCAATTTATTTTTAAAATTTACTTTTTACATTGTCAAATATTTTTACACACTGATAGATTTTACAGGTAGAATTCTTTAGAATTCTTTAGAATTTAGAATTCTTTTTAAATTCTGTTTATCTGTCTAAGATTTTATTGTAGCAGAAATCTACTACAGTATATTTCTGAGCAATCCTTTCAAGAAAGGATCTGTGGGTGGTAAATGAAAGGAATCACTGTCTTAAAAGTGTCCTTTTGGGGACCTCCCCTGTAGCACAAGGGGTTAAGTCTCAGCACCATGAAGCTATGGGAAGCCACTGCACCAGGGAGTTAACTCATATGGCTCAGCAGACCTCTCCTGTCCTGTCCTCTGCTCCCTCAGCAGTGTGTTTCAGTAGACCTGCCTGTTCTGATCCCCACTCTGTCTCTGGTGAATCCTTTTACCCTTGTACCCTTTGACCTCTGACTACACCCCAGTTCTTTTATGCATTAAAAAAAAATCATCCATTTGGATTTCTCAAGATTTTAAAGGTCATATTCTTTGCTGTACAGACACCAGAAATGATGACAGCAATAATCAGAAATATGTTTCTATTCACATTCTTGCTCACTTTTAGCTCCTACATTATATATTACAAAACTTTTTGTTCTTTTCTGGAAGATACTAGAATGCATTGAAAATTATCCTTATTAAAAATTTCACCAGCATGTGGTCTTAGATAGTCATTCACATTTATCTTATTTGGCATTTGATAGCCCTTTCAATCTAAAGGTTTGTACATTTCTTTTGTTACAGAATATGTTCTTTTAAAATTTATTTAATTACTCTTTAATTATTTCTTATCTCCACCTCTTCCTAGATCTCTTATTAGATGAATTGATGCTTTTAACCTTTCATATTTTCCATCTGTCTTTTTGCTCTCTATTACAGTTGATTTTAATGACTCCTTTCAGAACAATAAATTGATTCAGCTGTGTTAGGCATCTACTAAATTTCTTTTGGCATTATGTTTTAAAGCACCACGTATATACTTAGAATTTTCTAGTTTTTCCTTTTGCAAAACAAGCAATATGGGCTCTCCCTGTTGGTGCAACGGATTAAAACATAGCACTATGAAGCTATCTGCAGCCACTGCAGCACAAGTTCAATCCCACGTCAGGGAACTGACCCACATTGCACAACAGACCTCTCCTGTCTCTCCCACTGCTCCCCTCAGCAGTGTATTTCAGTCAGTTTGCCTGTTCTGCTACCCACTCTGTCTCTGGGGAATCCTCTCACTCCCTGCACCTCTGGCCTGCACCCCAGTTCTTGCTCCTTATAACTTGAACCAAAAGTCCTCCCCAAGCAAATAGATCACTTTCTTAACAGTACAATTCTTATGCCTCCAATTAAATGTTTATATTTACTTGCTGTTAGTGGTTAAGGTTTGGGAACTAGAGCTTGGAAGTAGTTCTTTAGTTCCCCAATAACTCTTATTCTTATTTCCCCCAACATGTTCACTTGTGCTTGATATTTTGCCAAGTTTGTTCTTATGATTATAGTAGTTTTAATACATTAGCATTTTACTCTGTGGATTTTATTTTCTCTTATTGGTTATGTGTTCCCATTTGCTTTCCAACTGCTAATGGCATTCTTTTTTATTAAGTGCCCATTCTTTTTTATAAAAACTTTTTTGAAAGATTTTTTAAATTATTTATGCACACAAGAGGTGGGGTATAGGCCAGAGGTGGGCAGGATGAGAGGATTCCCCAGAAACAGAGTGAGGCGCAGAACAGGCAGATTGAAACACACTGCTGAGGGGAGAGGTGGGAAAACAGAAGTCTGCTGCGCCATGTGCATCAGCTCCTTGGCCTGGGATAGAGCTCAAGTTGCAGTGGCTGATAGCTTCAAAGTGCCTAATAGCTTCATAGTGCTGAGACTTAACCTCTTTTAAATGACAAATTTTCTGCTATTTAATGACTTTTGGGAGGGGTGGATGCTAGTACTCAGTCCTCTACCTGACCCAAGTTTATTATTTTTCTCAACAGTTAATATGTTAATATTCGCTGATCCCAAGGATGGACCTGTTTATGTACAATGCATCTACTTTTAGAGATGTATTCATGAATATTACACATACTTTCAATCTTAATAAATGTAACCAAGGGCATACTTTGATGACCATTTAAATGCAGAACTACATATGTCATTATCTACTGTCCATATAATTATAAATAGTAAATAATAGTTTAAATAATAATAGTTTCAATAGTTTCATTCATCTATATAGGTATCAATAACTCTAATGGTATAGAATTAATTTAGAGGCCAAAGTAGGATCGTTTTACTCATGTTCCTTTTCTTTTAATAAATTAAAGTACATCTGAAAGGTTAGGATCCATGTTCTCAGCATTTCTGAAGGCATCTTATCAAAGATACTCTTATTACCTATAATTTTATGTATTGATTTGTATAATGTATTTCAAGGAAAAAAATCCAATATCAGCTATTCTTGTTTTTTTTTTTTCTTTTTTATTGAACAACCAAGATGAATAAGGCACATCACTAAGCAAAAAGTGCTATTTACTATGCAAAAGGCACAGTCAGTGATTGGCATCTAAGACCAATTGATCTACCCATTACCACTATCTCCCTACCCCCTCTAACACTACTATGAAGCTATTGATTTAAACACTGTCGATCGGTTTCCATTTTCTGATTTTGGGCAGGCCAATTAAGAAAGTGAGTAATTGTGATTACACTGCTTCAGGATCAATTACATTTGATGCAAGACAAACTGTTCTTTTTGGATGGCATGAAAAAATAATTTTGATGTAGCATGTTTATATGCTTAATAAAATCTAAAAAATAATTTTACTTCACACTAGAAAAATATACTAATGTAAATGCTTAAAAATAGCTAAGATTATTTTCTATGTAAAATAAATTTACCGTTTTCCTAAAGTTTAGCTTTAGAAAAACTGAGAAAAAAATATATTTAGGATAAAAATCAAACACTACCTAAATATTTATCTGGTCTAAAGAGACTTAGTTATTGTGAAAAAACAAAGTGTGAATTCTATGGTATAGAGAATTTTGGTAATGAAAATGCACTTAAAAAAAACCCCACAAACCCACTTCATTACTAGAAATATAAAAGATTCTTTATATAAATTGATAAGAAAAAATATTTTTAGTTCTTACTTTTGCCCTCTCTTGATGCAAAAGCTTTGTCTTTGGGCTCACATTGTTGAAATCATTAAAATGAATATACCTCTGGTGTTGGAGGCAAATCTATTTAGAGTGATGTTACTCATAGTCTTGTGCTCAGTAATATTGATTTGTGTTGTTTGTCTAATAGAAAAATAATAAACAATTACTAGGCAATGTTGGGAAAAGTAATCAGTTTTTATATATCACTAATATCGCAGACCTCCCAAAACATAAAGGTGATGATCTGCATAAAATCAATGTGTTATGCTACATTGCTTATATTCATCATTGAAGGTTTTCAGCAATAAATGGTACAACATTATAGGCTGGAGTTACTGGTAAACTGAAAAGGTATATTAAAAAAGGTACACCATATTTAACCTATAAACTTACTTAACATGTCTATTTCCTAAGCTAGAAGATTTTTAAAATAAAAAGTTCTGTTCTAAGCTAGTTATAATTTGGATAAATTAAATGTGTCAACTCTTTTAGAATAAAAACAAAGCAGCCTCAAATCAAAATAACAAATCATATCCCATATCAAAAAAAGTATTCAAAGAGCTCAAGTATAATTCTTAAAGATGCATGAATATAGTTTTGTACTAATTTGCTCATGTTTTCTGGATTTCATCAGAAAAGTAGAAAACATTATATAAAAGCAATAACAATGTCAAAACCCAATCTCAGAAAAGCTCTTTCGGCTGGTGTTCAACTAAAAAACCTTTTTTATCAAGAGCAGTTTATAAATTAAAGGGAAAAATATATGGGTTTTAGGTGCTGAGAGAATCAATAATTCTCTATTTAAGAAGCTCAAGGTAACATATCAGGTATTTCAAAAGATAACTTCTCTGGGTATTTCAATAATATTAAGTTTTAAATTTCTCCTGGATTTTCATCATGAATTTTCTCATGATTTTTTCAAAATTATAGTTAAATTAAAATTTTATTTTGCAGTAGTTTATTTTAACCAACAAACTATGAATTCAATCACATATGATAGACTATACTAGTTAGCTGTGAAACAAATGCTAACAATACAGACCTCATACACATTTTGTAAAATTATTCCATGGTGATATAAATGTTGCCAAAGAAAAGCATGTTTGTTTAAGTGTTTTTGTCTCTGTAGGAAAAAAGCTACCGAAAGTCTAGTTTTGATATTACTTTATAGGTAATATAAAATACAGGAGAACAATTGAACTTACCACAACTGGAAACTGGCAGTCTGAGTGGAATCACAAAAGTCAATACCCATTGAAACAGTAATGGATCCCTCAGGCTCAAGAGATTCTAGGAAATAAGATAATTTAGACATGAAAACATGGAGGATGTGAAAAAGCAGCAAACTAAACACTGAAACTTAGTAGTTTGGCTCTAAGTGTCAAATTTAACACTGGCTCATAAGAACAATTTCAAACTAAGACTATTAAAACAAATTATGAAGTAATTTTACTACTATTTTTCTACTCAAAGGCTTTCTTTTTTCACAACTTTACTCATATTCCATTATCTACTTGTTTCAGAAATAAATCTCATCCTGAAAAATATGAATTATAATATCTTTCAGGCACTGGAATTGTGAAGGAAATAAATATGTTTATGTGGAACAAGTGAATTGGTCTCTGGGTAATTTTAAGAGGCTATGTATTTAAAACTATGAACTATTTATGCTATATATAATTTTAAACAACAGTCCGAATTTTCACTGGTTAAAAAAAATCTAAAATTTAAAATAAAAATTAAAGGAGAGCTGGAAGAAATTAACTTCTACGCAGAAATTAAGCGGGACAACTGGGATTATCAACAATAGGAGATAAAACAGTAAGCCTAACTGCAGTATTATGAGAATTACTGAAAGAAAATTTAGTATCAGAGTATCTTGAGAAGACAAATAGTGATATTAATATTTTATACATGTTGAATTTCTGAAATATCATCAACTACCCAAATGTGGAAAATACCTATCAATGTTCAAAACTGGTGTTTTTCAGTTGAAAATGATAAAAATTAAGACAAACAACAAAATTATATTCTGCTTATTATTTGTGTACAATAGAATAATGGAGGAATCTTAAATACCTAAACATATATTTTAGTATAAATATTTATTATGTATATTATTTACTTAAATACAAACCACCCACTTGATTCCTACTTTGCTCAAGGTCTTCAATATAAGGATACTGCAGTTGTACCACACATTATCTTTATATTCAGCTTTATCTATTCTGTGTCTATTTTGCTATGGTGATTACATATTAGCAAGCACACTTTAATCTAATAGATTATGACTCTACTATGATTTACCATTTAATGCTAACCATGACAGTGATGGTAGTACAGATGGGTCAAAAGAAGAGCTCAATAAATTTAAAACATTTACCAGGATTCTATTCAAGGACCGTAAGTCTTGATGCTTAAATCTTAGGCAAAAAGGTATTATTTTAGAGTAAATAACTGTAACAGTAATTTTCTTGCATTTCTCCTAAAGTTATACTTTACCAGTTCACACCTCCGACAGGTAATGATTTAGATCTCTCTACATCATGTATCCTTGTATTTCACTTGACAAAATGATAGTCTCAAGTGTGGCTAACTCTTCAGGACCTCAAGTGCACCTGTCGGTCCTGGCTAATGTTGTGCATGGGTGAGCACACTCCCTAGTAAGGCCAACAAACAAGCCAGCAGAGCACAGTGCACTCTGTCCTGCAAATAGCTGCAGCCCACTGCTTTGTATCAAGCAGAAGCTACAAGAAGCCCCTAGGTCTGGTACAAACATGCACCCCACCCCCTGCATCGGGCACATATCCTGTTTTTCCCTGCACTTACAGACCCTATATACCAATGGGCAGTCCTAAACAGACTTCAGACCCCAGGCTCCTGCTTCAGTTCCTTTTGCTCTTTGAGTCTCCTAAGATCCGAGTGAACGTAGCAGTCAGCACAACCCTCGGTGGGTTTGCAACACTCAAGATGCCTTGTTGATAAGTACTCTTTGGCATAGTTTGATACTCCCTTCATTCTTAGCATAATTAACTGTGAGCTTAGTGCCATGCTAATTCTGGAGAACAGGGCATGATCAATGGTATGTTTTATTATAAGACTGCTTCAAGAACAAAGTGATCAGCATAAAATTATTCATAAATGGATTTATATAATGTTTGATGCCCATTAAACTGGGCAAATTTACTCAATTAGATGTCTGTTTCTGGATACTCAAATCAGGTGAGTGCATTTAGATACTGTTTCTGACATAGAGAAACTGAACAAAAAGGTTCAGGAAAAAGACAGATTGGCAAACTGACCATAGGTCTGAGGCATATAGCAAGGAGGAGAGAGAGAGGCATAAAACCAGGTAAGGGAGGAGCACAAAGGACTATAGTGATAGTTCATAGGTGATATGGTGGTGGGAAAACTACATGGACTACACCTTAAGGAAGAACTCAAATAATATGCAAAAATGAACAATGATGTAAGGGGAAAAAATACTTGAGAATATATTGAAACTATATGCTTTATGCATTTTTTTAAAAGATACTGCTCCCGGATATACTGCCATATACATGAAATGATTACACTGAACTGGCTGCAAGATGCTGAACTTATTATATATAGCACAACACAAATAATGAAAAATGACATCATATATGAGTAATCACTAAAAATCTTCGCTGAATTCAAATTTTCAATTGTTAATATAAAGTCACTGAAAATAATAATATTTCAGAGAGTCTAAGCATATGTGTGTGTGTGTTATGTTCCTGGTCTCTGGAGGAAATAATGGCTCTTTATTCCTAACATTCATAGAAGGAATTTTTATAAATTCCTGCTAAAGACAGAGCAAAATCCACTACATATTAAGAGAAAGGAGCATGGTGACCAAAAAGCAGTTGGATTCCTTAATATACACGCATACTCTTTTTTTTTTTAATTTTACAAAAGTTTATTTTTACATCATTTTGTACATTTTTTTCCATCTCAATTGTAATCCCTGTGGGTTTCCGATCACCAAGTCACCCAACACACATATTCTTTTAAAGTAAACCAAATATCTTATGTCCCTTATTTCACAAAAAGTGGAAAATACAATTATTTTTTCCTTCTTGTATGCTTAATATGGTTTTGGAAGACTTAATTAAAATGTGTTATACTCTGTAACTCTACTGTCATCTATTTGAAAAAGAAAAAGAAAATAGGTAATATTACATACAAATAAACTGCATAGGAAAGAACTTTATCTTGAGGGTGTTTAGTAAGTGCCAACAAAACAAATGCAACATTAGTTTTAAAATCTGCCTAAGAACAGAAAAGTCTATTGCTGGCCTGTCCTGAGGCAATCATATACAATCATTATTTTATTTCTATGTTAGGGCCCCACGATGAGATTTATTATATTTATTTCTTCTATTCTACATAGGCGAACAAAAGGTCAACTCATCAACTCATTATGACAGCTCAAAGAAATGTTAATACTGTTCTACTGTTTTAACCTTTGGATAACATTTTCAACCTTCAGACAATTCATTTATCAGCTGCTTGACACTTCTTAAACTAAACTAATTTTTTAACTAAGTAAAAAAGGTTGAATTTCAGATTTGTAGCAATAAAGAAACACAAATTTGAATATTTCCTTAGCAATATTACAAAATAAAAATCAGAACACTTTGTTCTCTATTTATTCTTATATGGTCTTAGCTGCCCAATTATTTTTTAAAGGGTATTAAGTGGGTTTGAAATCAATTTACTTTAACTCCACTTTTCTTTGGTGGCTTATAAAAGTCTACCACATTTCATCTATTAGGAATTGCTTTATTCCTTTGTGCAAAAATAACACGAAGAATGACTTACAGGGAATGAATAAAGAAAGCACAGTGACTAAGTTTGAGTTCATCCTTGTCAAAAGTCTTTATTCACTGAAAAAGGAACTATCTGGAGCTTTGTCATGGTCACAATTCAGGGATTCCGTAACATACACCTTGTATTGTTTTTAGTTGATATTTCTACCTGGAGCTTTCTCCAACTAACCCTTAGGACTATGTCCACTTACACAAAACAGAGAGACATTTTAAACATTTTAAGTTCAAGACAACTGTTATGTTTAGTTTTTTAAAAGGTGACTTTTTGGTTAACATTTTTATCAAATGGAAGGGCCCCAAATAGAAGAGTGATGCTCAGTTGGGGAGATGATGTGATATAATGAGCACTGATGTCAAGTGGGAAGCACATGGTACACGGGGGCTCCCTGCTCAGCCTTAGGTGGGGTGTTCCATGTGGAAATTAAGGCTCACATTGCTGATACTGCTTTAGTCCAAAAAAACAAGATTTGTGGGTTTGCTTTTGAAAGTAGAAATAGTGTTTTTTTAAAATAACAATGCCAGATTAAATAGTTTTTTTCTTTTTTAAAAAAGCTGTATTTTTAAAAATTGTCATACTGGTTTACTACACTGTATATGATTTAGGGGTATAAAATGATACCTTTTCTGTTACCACACCACACCATGCCCACCACCAATGCACCAATAATCAACCACCTTTAGCATGATGTGTATAAAAACCAGTGATATACTTTGGGTGATACTACATTATACATCTGGAAAGGAAGCTAAGTATTTTTCAATTTATGGAAAGTGAAAGGGAGCAGGGGTGAAGAGGCACTGTACTTGAAAAACAGAGTAAAGTTATGCAGGGAATGAAACTGACCAGTAGAGAGGCAGGGAAGACAGATAAATGAAAGACAATTTTGATTCTTCAGAACTACCATTTCATCAGTACTAATATTCCCTTTGCAAGCACCAGATTCACAAAGGACAAAGAAATGTGCTTATTTACCTTTTCTGATAATTCAGTTTATAAAGGAAAAACGAATACAAACTGAATATACTAAGTAGTCAATAAAAATATCTATTCTACTTTACTTTTTGAATGAACACATTTAATTATCAAATATAGTTCAAGTTATAAATGAAAATACTTACCTATTGGATCAAAAGCGTGCATCTGCACGCCTATAGGAAGTTTTTTCCCCCCTATGTGGATATTTTCTATCTTTTGATCAGTGGTATTATTCAAAGTTATTTGTACAGAGACCATTTTATCACCAAAAATACAAGGTTGTCTTGGAAAGAAATAATCAGCAGCCAGTCCTTTTCCACTCATTCGATGAAGCAACGCATGGGTTTTCATTGGCACAAAGACAGGAGTACTAACCTGTTGTACAATGGAAAAAGAAAAAAGATTAATTAATTGTATATTGGAAAATATACAAAAAATTATGACAAAACTCCCTCGTTCCCTAAAGTTTTATATAAACCACAATAACAAATACTAGTAGGACATCACACAGAAAGACATTAAGTCATATAAAATGTATAATAAATGACTTCAAAACAGAATTCAAATTTTCGGTATTCTGAAGACATGTATTACAATAGCTCAACAATATATGTCTAATTAGACAATAATGCCATTTATGTATTCTTTTTGGAAGAGGTTATAAATTGGTTATTTTTCCCCCTAAGTCTAACCTCTATATTTGGATATCTTTTAAGTTTTCTTACTAGTTCTGATTTTCTCAGACTTCTGAACTATAAAATAGTATAATCTGCCAATGATGAACACCTTTAACCTTTATTTCTAATTTTGACTCCCAAAACATTTTCACCTTGGGTATTTTTTTAAAAAGATTTATTCATTTGTGCATACAGAGTTGGAGTACAGGCCAGAGGTGCAGAGGTGGTGAGAGGCTTCACCAGAGACAGAATAGGGAGCGGAACAGGAAGATGGATGAAGTACACTGCTGAGAGGAGCAGCAGGTGGGTCAGGAGAGGTCTGCAGCTCCATGTGGATCACCCCCGGAGTAGCAGATCAAACTCATGCTGAAGTGGCTTTAGCTTCTTAGTGCTGTGCTGTAAACCACTGCACCACCAGGGAGGGCCACACTATGAGTATCTTTTACTGTAAACTGCAGGCTACACTTTATCCTTTGCTTAATGATTAAAAAAAATCTTCTCTATTTTGAAATTCAATAACTATTGACTCATATTTTCTTCTATAACTTTCCTGGTTTTAATTTATTAATTCATATGGAACAGATTTAGAGTATTGAGTCTACATTTAATTATTTTTCTCCAAACACTTAACCAATGGTACATTATTTAAAGATTTGCATTTCCTCAGTAATCTATAAATGTGAATATTCTATTTATGAATTTGGGACATTTTTGGGTCTTGAATAAGTTGTTTAACCAGCACCATATTGTTTTGTTTCCCATCATCCTACATTGTGATTCAATCATTTAGCAAAACGAAGTTAGCCTTACCCTCCTCCTCCCAAACATTATTTTTGGCTAATCAACTATTTATCCTTTTACTGAATACAGATGCGTTCAATAAAAGTTTCCTGTTAATACTGAGTAGAATTAAGAACAGGTACCTTAAGTGAAGAAACAGCCTACACTAAAATCCATGTGGTAGCTAACTTTTCATTCAAAGTCAAAGTGTTAAATGTGGCCTGGCCTACCATGGGCAGGTTTAAAAAAATCAATTTGTAAATTAAATAGGTTTAATCAAAATTTTTTTCTTAAAAACTGTTCTCTACCAAACCAGGTTATCTATTATCATTGTAAGAGTACATATTAACCTACTAAGCATGTTTTACTATACCACTAGCACTTAATAAAATGAAAAATAATATTAATAATTTAAAGTTCAACAAAACTTCTAGTTAAATATTACATATAAAAAATTATAAACAGTGCCTTCTACACATCATTCAAATATAACATTCCTTTTCTGAAAGCTTAACTTATGAGGGAGAGTTAAAAATTTTATGAAGTAATTTGTAAAAAACAGTAATTGGCTAAATAAAAAATTTTAGCTATATGATGGGGCATCTGATCTTTTCATTCTATGTCACTCTTCCCATAATAACAGTCTAGCTTTTTAAGTTTCTAGGCACTTCACTTCTAAGGTTCTTTTTCTTATATATAATTTATTTTCAAAATCTCCTGTTCCATTGCTTACACTAAGTTTTACGTCCTTCATAAATTCTGGGGGTTGGTTAGTGTAACAAGAGAGTAATCCTGAGCAGTGAACATTCAGAGGACAATGGCCATCAAAAAAATAAGCAATGGACATGCATGTTTGTTAATATAAGAATACACACACAAACATATTTATACTTATAGATTTATACTCAACAAAAACATTCTTCAAAATTTCCAATGTTCTGCGGATATGACAAGCCTTTACCAGGATGATTGTATTTCTCAGTATTTCCTTAATTAGATGCTAAGTGTACTCAAGACAGTAATAGTCTTACTTTTCATTGAAAGACAGTTTTTGTAAAATAAATGTTGATATAGCCAGTTTTACCTCTGAAACCTCATAGAAGTTTAGACTGTATATAATTTGGGGAAGTAAAGTTGAGAAAGGCAAGTATAGTTACATGAGAAAAGCAGAACAAAAAGTTTGGTTTCCAAGCAGGTAGTAATTAGCATTCTAAATATACAGGAGGTGATTAGAAGGTATGCCTTTAGTCATTTAATGCTATCAACATGTCTTGGTTGGTTTATTGATTTTTGTCAATCTAATCCTGGGAGACACAGACCAAACATTTATTTTCTTCTATCTTATCTAAAAATCTTGCACCTTGAATATAATAGTTAAAAAGATGTAAAGAGATGTGCAGTGTAATTTTTCCCATTCATTCTTTCCACTTAAGCAGTTAAAGAAGCACCTCCCGCCCCTAATGAATTCAACATTTAAAACAAGCCCTGACAATTCTCAAAGATTATTCCTTCTAATACAGAAGTCTGTGTTTTCTTCCACAATAAACAACATGATAAATGGCTTCCTGGTAATATATATTTGTTAAAAACTAAAAAAAGCCTAACTGAAAATGTTTTTTTTTTTAATCCTGTTTTCTAAGCTCATACAAATGGTATTAAGCCAAAGATTCCAATATCTACAATTATACAGGTAATATTTTATTCAATCAAAGCACTAGATTCCACAAATCCTTTATACTGTACACATGTAATTAACTTATTTTGAAAGGAAGGCAAGACTTTATTTCAATATTTAGTAAATAGTTACAGCCAGAAAAATATCCATAAATCTGTGACAGTTCATATTTTAGATGCCACCCATTGTGAATGAAGGTAAAAAAGGTGAATTAAATACAAAATGACCTAGACTTGGGCTGTAAAAATGAGGATTTAAGGGAAAAAAATAGGTATTTCACAACTTTGAACGAAACAGATCATCTCAGGCAAGGATCAGCAAACTGGAACCCATAGGCCAAATATAGCCTTTGCCTGTTTTATTGATTTTATTCACTCTTTACATATTTTAGGTGGTTGCCATTTTGTTCTACAATGGTAAAGTTAAGAAGCTACAATGCCCAACATTACTATCTGCATCTTTACAGAAAAAGTTTGCTGACCCCTGATGTATTTCCTTCCTCCCTGCCTTACTCTATTGTTGTGGAACAATTCTCCACAGGTCTCTGCATATGTTTCTGCATATTTTCAGGGAAAAGGCATTAATAACTTTACTTCTGAAATCTTTTCAAGGATGTTTGTACAGCAGACTGTTTGTTAACAGTCCCTTATAGGAGATCAGCATCTTCTACACAGGTTTTAAATTTTTTTTTTATTCTTATTTTTGCCATAAAGCAAAGCACTGCATGGGCAGGCATCACCTGACCATCAAAGTATTATCCCACAGGAAATGAAACCTCAAGGAATGATGCATATGACGTGACTCTAGCTACTGCTATTGCTGTGTGAAATAAACTTTCCCTGTTTCTGACAAAGGCATCTCCTGTCCTGTAACAGTTCCATTGTACCAGGCTAACTTGTTAGCTTGCAAAGGAATAACCTCTCATACCCTTCACAGTTCTTGATACCCTCTTACTTTTGGAGGTGGGTAATGTAACAATTCCTAAAGCCACTTATTCCTAACTAAATTAACCTTAGTAAAGTTATCATGTATAGCTGTAAATATAATGGCCAGTGTGGGGGTTGAATATGAGCTAACAATACAGTTTATATTCAAGGGTGCCTTTCTGAAATCTTGCACAATGGCAACAGAGGGGCTTTGTTAATGAGAACACTGCTTTAAATAGTAGAAACATTTTTCTTTTGATTTCCTTTTATGAAAATGAAATTAATAACCTGGTTAATTTTCTCTATGGATTTCTTAAGTACCACACAGTGTTCTATCAATAAAATTATATCATGTCAGTCCTCTGCTCAAAACTCTCCAAATGCAATGAGTAAAAGTCAAAAATTCTTTAAAAGTCTATAATGTCCCATATAGGTTTCCTTTGTGATATATTTCTCTGGCCTCAGTTCCTATTATTCTGAAACCCATGGCTCATTCTATTCAAGCCTCCCCTGACTTCCCTGCTATTTATTCCTTGCACTCCAGTTACACTTTTACCTTATGTACTAGGCATTAGTTTCCTCTACTGGAAATGTACTTTCTCCAAATAATCACATGGCCCAGCTCTGATATATCTTTGCACAAATGTTTCCTTCTTCATAAAGCTTAACCCATTTGCATCTTTTTTTCTGAATTTTTCCTTTTTCCTTTCCACAGCCACTTAATACTTCCCTAACATAATGTCTGTATCTAATTTGTTTATTATGTCTCACAATTATTTCCCACTTGAATGTTCAATGCATAAAACATAATTTTACAATTTTCAGAACTCAAAATATAATCTCACTTTTTAAATTTTTATAGAGATTTACAGATAATACACTTACAGTTTTGGTCCTAACTATACCTCTTTTGATATGAGTGCTCAATTATAACACTATTCTAAAAAATATTACATATTTATAGCAGCATACTGTGAACACAGTGGGCACTATCAATATTAGTATTTGTTGGGTTTAGGGTATGGCTCCACTAGAAAATTTCTCTTACATATAATTGTAAGCAAAGAAATACTGTATTTCTTGAAGGTATATACAAAGAACAACTTACTAAGTGGGAAGATGTCTACAGTACAAACACTAATTATTAAAATATCTAGTTTTACATTAGAGTATCTAATAAAATATCTAGTTTTACATTTTGCAGGGGAGGAAGAGGGATCAAAATGAGGGCTGGAAGAGCAGCACAAAGGACTATGGTTCTGGTGCATGGGTGACCTGGTGGGGTGGAAATTCTATGGGGACTACACCTGAGAAAAG